AATTTTTCTGTCAGTACCGACAATTCTCTTCCTATTTCTATAAAACCATTTCTGGTTTGCCTAAATAGCTTGAAAAGATCAACTTCGGTTGACCTGCACTTTACGCAAGACCAGCGAAGGCCCTTGCCATCATTAATAGCGTCCAGAATTCTTCCCGTCAAACCAGCACATTTCAGATGGTAAATACCATCACACAGCCAGCACGATAAGTAGTGTTCAGAATCGCTTTTAATTTGGCAAGTATCAAGATCACACTTCATATTGAAATATTTATGTAATACACTCGTTAATAAAAGACAAACAAAATAAATTATAACAATTAAGGAGCTGATGTAAATAGCTTTAAATAAATGTAGCTAACAGTTTGAGTGTCACTGTAATTATGACACTTAATAAACGCAACACAAACAGCTGTGACAAGAATTACTAGAAGAAGTAAACAAAAAAGAGTAGAACAAATGTGCAAAAACAAAATGAATTCAGTTAACTACAAAGGATACAACAACAATGATAGCAACAAATGACTCGGCAAAATTAGAATGTGTGCTAGTGAAATTTAATTAAATTTATTTAAATGAATAAAAAAACCACTGAAAATCGGGACTTAATCGGTACAAATATGAAAAATCGGGACACTTATACGTCCCGATTTTTAAAAAATATTCAGCGGAACAATTTTCTCAAAATCGGCACTGTCCGCCAACGAATGGTCACCGTACTTATAAACCAGTTGGGTCCTTGTCCAGGAAACTCAGCTTTACATAAACGAAACAAAGCATGTAAGACTGAAATGTTGCCGATATTTGCAGCCATATATTCTTTCCTCACATATTGGAAGGATGTCAGTTCATCGGCAAGATCATAAGCCTCTGGTGTATGTCTTCGCTCAGAGTGCCATCAACGCTTCACCACAACAATACTCTCAATTTGACTACATATCCCAGTTCAGAATTTATCTAGACTATCTTAAGGGAGAAGGGACGCGGCTGACGCTCTCTCCAGGATCAGTCAACTATCCTGAGCGTCGAGAGGATTCAGCAGGAGCAGCGAGGTGATGAAGAGTTTCAGCTCCTGCAACCCCTATCCATCGACGGCAAATTCATAATCTTTCGCGACATATCCTTTCGTGTGGTGAGGCCTTTCATCCTCAAACACCTACGACGAGAAGCATTAGACACTGTACATGGGATGTCCCATCACTGTGGCCGAGCCACGGATCGCGCGTTTAAGAAATTCATTTGGCCTGCCATCAATAAGGATGCGCTGGCGTTGTCTCGTAACTGCATTTCATGGCAGTTATCCAAGATTTTGTGTCACAAACGTCTCATGCTCAAGCACATTGACATATCCGATTGCAGATTCAACCATGTGCACCTCCAGTTCATCGAACTTTCAGTAGTCGACCAATTCAGGTGCTGTCTAACATTATGGGCAGGTTTTCCATTTGGCCAGTTGCTGTTCCTCTGAAGGATATAACAGCTGATACTATGTGCACTGCACAGTGTGCAACACCTAACCAGTGTGAGCAGATGATCACATAAAGCGAGGTTTAAACAAGTAAGAAAGTCTAAGTTCGGGCGGAGCCGAACATTAAATACCCGGCGCAAGTATTAAATATATGTTTCTTCACCTTTCCGATTGGCCGATTGGCGATTTTAAAAATTGTGTAATATTCTTATTTTTCGTCAAAAAGTTATTGTAAATATCAATTTTGCGTGAATTATCTTCAATAGTTACTAAAATATCGCAGTTTTCGTATTTCTGGAAATTACCGTTATATGGGAAGTGGGCGTGGTTACAGTCCGATTTCGCCCAGGTTCAATACCAACCTACCTTGGATTAAGGGAAACCTACATACCAAATTTCGTTGAGATATCTCAATTTTTGCTCGAGTTATCGTGTACACAGACGGACGGACAGGCGGACATGGCTTAATCGATTTCTTTTTTCATCCTGATCATTTATGTATACATTTGTCTATATCTATCTCGATTCGTTTTGGCTGTTACAAACAACCGTTATGTGAATAAAATTAATATACCCTTGTGCACAAGTGCGCTCGGGTATAAAAAACGGTTAGATAAAGTTATAGTTAAGTGAGAGGGGAGACCGGTATGCCTGCATACATAGTGGGTAAACACTGTGGCCAATGGCATCATCTACCACCTCTGCATGATTGTAAATAATTCAGAGTCCGCAAAAGACTCCTGGAGCATTGTCCGAAGGATGTATCAGACTAGGCCGAGCATACTTTTAACTGCCATCAAATTGTAACTTGAGAATATTTTATAACATGACCGCTGAGAAGTGCATATGCAAAAAATTTATAATACAAAATCACTTCTTTTACGTTAATAACGGCTACATTACTTCAAGCTATGCAAATTGGAGTTAAATTTATGATACGACAAACCAAAAAAAAATTGCGAATAGGAATATGGTTGTTTTTTGAATCAGAGTGCACTAGTAATACTCCAACAAATCAATTGTTTCAAAAATACAGTTTAAAGCAAATGTCGTAGTCAGGGCTGTAAAATGATTGAATCAACATAATCTGCATTCACTCGGCATTCCTTTCAAAATGTTGATTGGTGGTTTGTATAAATAAAAACCTCATTCCTGAGTGGCTTAAAATATTTGAAAAAAAACTGTGTTTTGTTATTGAATGGTAAATTTCTATTCAGTATAGAATGTGAATTTCCAGCAGCATTCGCACTCACACATGATTGTATATTTAGAATGAATGCACACTTTTTTTACCATTCAGTACCAATAATTTATTCCCAGGGTTGATATATTTTATACTTTAAAGTTTAAACATATCTGGAATTGAAAAAAAAAACAAATATTTTATTTCAACGTATATGTACTTACTAGCTTATACCCGCGGGTTTCACCCCACGTTTTTATGCAAATATGTAAAATAATTTAATGATTTTATATTTTATTTCTGTGCACATTTCATTATAGCTCGTTATTTTTTAAGCGAGTTAAGGTATTTAGGCCGTTTAAAACAATGAAATTATAAAATCTCATCTGCGCGCTAGGCATACGAAAGATATCAATCCCTCTAAGTTTACTTTAAAATGGTTCCAGTAATACGACGCGCGAACGTGTAACCTTCTTGGAGGTGCCAAGGCGGGTTCTAATATTTCCAACTCAAATTTTGTAACCTGGCCTTGATAAAATACCACTTCTCATTACTGCAAATGCCTCAAGAGAGCTTTAGATTATAAGGCCGAACCCGGCTCTCCCTTTTCCATTAAATGAATTCTTTTCTGTCAGTACGGCACTTATAGAATAAATCTCCATAACAAATTTAAAATACTTCCAGAGATTTTCTATACTTCCAGAGATAGGCGACATGCCTCCTTTTTTAATAACTCATATTTTTTCCATGAGCAATTGATAAATTTTGTATACACAACTCCATACCAAGTTCCAGTGTTCTTCCACAAACACTTCCAGGGATATGTGGCAAGAAAAAGTCAATTTGTACAGGAAGTGCCTCGCCCCTTTTTCTTCTAACCCTAATCTCCTTCCATGAATTTAGAATTGATTTTACATACCCCAGTACCAAGTCCCAGTACTCTACCATGAACACCTCTAGAGATAAGCAGTATAAAACAGTAAATTTGTACGGCAGGAACCATGTCCCCTTTTCGAATAACGCAAATTCTTCTCCATGAGTATGGAATTAATTTTGTATACACATCTCGGTGCAAAGTTCCAGTCCAGCAATAAACACCTCCCGAGATATGCAGCATAGAAAAATCAATTTGATGAGAGTTGCCACACCACCTTTTCCAATAACTCTCTCGCTGGCTGCGATTACGATTAATTAATTTTAAACATTAATCGTTAATCCAATTAAAAAATTAAAATTTGTTTAAGTTGTCTAGTTTGTCCGAATTTGAAACCAAACACCCGTTATAATAATTATTTTGTGCTTTACGCTTATAAAAAGCACATGATATAAAAAAATTATAATTATTTTTATTAGTAATACATAAACTGGGAACTTTTACAAATCTAGTTTGTAAAACGTTTGTTGGTATACACACCAAATTGCTCAGATTGATGAGGAAACCCGACTTAGCCATATCGGATTAACTTGCTTTGTGTGCACAGGAAAATTCCAGCATAAATTAATTAATCACCAAATATACTTGATCAAATTAAGAGTTAATGATTAAAATTTAATTTTTTTAATCGCGGTTACGAATTACTGTTTAGTCAGCTTAAAATTAATCATGATTAACTATAATCAGATTGAATTTAATCGAATTAACTAATTGATTAAAACATCAATCGATTATTGCCAACATTGATTTCACATACATATCACTATACCATGTTCCAGTTCTCTCCCACAAATACTTCCAGAGATATGTATGTAATATGAAATTTTCAATTTGTATGGGAGGGGTCTTGAGTTATCGGACTTACTTTTAGTCTAAGACCATCCTTCCGAAATCCGTAGTAAGTGTACCAAATTTCGTTCTGATCGGGAAACTGGTTAAGGAAGTAGCCTATTTTTCAATCCAGGTCATAAACCATCTGTGAGCAAAATTTAATTTTCAAATAGGTGGCATTTCTTAAAAAAGTAGCCTATTTCCTAACCTAGGCCATAAGCTATCTCTGCGCGAAATTTCATGCAAATCTGTTCAGTCGTTTCCGCGTATTAATTTAATTAAACTTTTTTAACACGTGGCAACTCTTCATAAGCTATCTGCTTGCAAAATTTCATGCAAATCCGTTCAGACTTCTCCGCGTATTAATCTAATTAAACTTTTTTAGCAGGTGGCAACTCTTAAAAAAAGTAGCCTATTTCCCAATCTAGGTCATAAGCTATCTGTGTGAAAACTTCCATGCAAATCAGTTCACTCCATTCCGCTTATTAATTAAATTAAACATTTCTAACAGGTGGCAACTCTTAAAAAATAGTAGCCTACTTTCCAACCTAGGTCATAAGCTATCTGTGTGCAAAATTTCATGCAAATCCGTTCAGTCGTTTCCGCGTATTAATTTAATTAAACTTTTTTAACAGGTGGCAACTCTTAAGAAAAGTAGCCTATTTTCCAATCTAAGTCATAAGCTATCTGTGTGAAAACTTTCATGCAAATCCATTCAGACGTTCCCGCAAATTATATAAAATAAACTTTTTTAACAGGTGGCAACTCTTCCAAAAAATTAGCTTATTTTACACTGTAGATCATAAGCTAGGTATCTGCTTTCAAAATTTTCTGCAAATCTATTCAGTCGTTTCCGCGTATTAATTTAATTAAACTTTTTTAACAGGTGGCAACTCTTAAGAAAAGTAGCCTATTTTCCAATCTAAGTCATAAGCTATCTGTGTGAAAACTTTCATGCAAATCCATTCAGACGTTCCCGCAAATTATATAAAATAAACTTTTTTAACAGGTGGCAACTCTTCCAAAAAATTAGCTTATTTTACACTGTAGATCATAAGCTAGGTATCTGCTTTCAAAATTTTCTGCAAATCTATTCAGTCGTTTCCGCGTATTAATTTAATTAAACTTTTTTAACAGGTGGCAACTCTTAAGAAAAGTAGCCTATTTTCCAATCTAAGTCATAAGCTATCTGTGTGCAAATTTTCATGCAAATTCATTCAGTCGTTCCCGCATATTAAATAAATTAAACTTTTTAACAGGTGGCAACTCTTAAAAAAATAGCCTATTAACCAATCTGGCCCATAAGCTACTTGCAAACAAAAGTTGATGCAAATCCGTTCAGTCGTTTCCACGTGATGATTTCCCAAACATCCAAACATACAAACTTTCACATTTATAATATTAGTAAGATAGTAAGATGTATATAAGTTTTCTGTCACTAACCCAAAGCCAATGACTCGTGCAATATTATTCCAAAGCAACTTATCGCAACCGTAGAGCAAAAAGGAGACATCTTGATACATATGTATATACATCATCGATTGTAGACATTTTTCGCAGAAAAATATACAAAATTTATTTATCACAATTTGTTTATACTTAATATTTTTTTCACAGTTTACACTTATCCAGATAGCCAAAACAAAAAATGTAAATATGCTTATTTGACATTTTGTTTGAATGTATTGGTTGAAATTTTTTCACATTTGTCATTTTCGTTAACCCGAATGAAATCCAATTCTAAATATTTTTAGTGAAAAATATTTTCAAGTCACATAAAATAAAATAATGAGAAAAACAAAATTCCAAGCAAAACAAGCGTGAAGCAATAATGACCGGATGTAGTTCCTACATAAGTCAAACCGTGCTCCGAACACAACTTTGAGTGGGCTAACTTTGTAAAATGGTCCCATCGATTAGGCGGTAAAACAAGTATTATTTAGCTTAAGGTAGAACTCTAATTTTCAAATAAACGAAATTTGTATATATTTGTTCAGTTGCTTATTCACATTTGATAGAGGATAATGCATGGATTAACGCAAATAAAGACGGTTGATGCAGATAAGCGAGCGCGTTTGTTAACCGTATAAAATGTATGTACACATATGCATATATATATCTATATCAAAATATTCAGAATGACGAGATGAATTGGTTCAGTTCTCTGTTTGTAAAACCGCTAACTCGAACAAAATTTAGATATTTTAAAGAAAGTCGGTGTCGAAGTCACCATTGGTATAATTTAGGTTAGTGTTAAATTGTGACGAAATCTGCCAATAACCACGCCCCCCTCCCACGTAGTACTTAACAATATTTTTGTTTTATTATTATTTTTTTTTACGAATTTTGCTGTTAAAATTTACATTTCAAATATATCAACAAATATTTGTGGGTACTTTTGCACCAATGGGTTAATGACTAAAAGTCCTATACATTCACAATATTTCATGTATTGATTTTCAAATAAGCATATTGTCAATGGCTGGTTACTGTATACCATGATAAAAATATTTAAAGGTAAAACCGCTCGCTCAATTCGTCCGCCATCATGATTCAATAATGAAAGGTTTTGTAAGAAAAACTTTCTCTCGCTCTAATTTTATCAATGACACTCCCACCCTACTCCTAAAAACAAAAACAGTGATATTTCTTTTCCAAATTTCTTTGCAAGTTTTAAGAACATTTTTAAATTGTTAGTAGTGAAATTTTTACTTTTTAAATTTGAAGAAATGTTTGTTCTGCATTCGCTGGCGCCAACAAGACAAAATGGGTGAGAATCGTTGGACTACAGAAATTCAATGTTAAGAGACGAAATTCCCTTAAATGCCGAAATGTATTTGTCGATATTCGTGGAGACCTCTTGATTCTGCCAAGTCGCTGTAAAGTAAAGCGTTCAATGAGCCAACGAAGGTATTTAGGTATTGTACTCCACGACACAATCCTGGTGTCTCCGAATGAGATTTTGACGCAATATAACATTNGCCATTGGGTTTTTTGACGTTTGCTAGCATTTTGGATTTACTCTCGAAATAATTCTAATGTCAAAGAAATTCGAAATAAACAAATGAAAGTTTATGATTTGAAATATTTATTTATTCAGAAGTTGAAAAAACTAAAAAAATTGGAAACGAAAAATTAGTTGCTGCTTTAACGGCTGGGGAAATTCCGTTGTCCTCTGCAAGCATAGCAATAACAAGTTTTTTAAGTTCCTGCAATTACCGTATAAAGGCAAAAATGGACCGAGGTTTGTGGTGATATGAAAACGGATTTGCCAAAGTGCCCCTATGTATGCTCGACTCATATTTTGCCACACCACTTGACCCAATGTAAGCACAAGATCGTTCGTTGCAAAAGTGGAGTGCCTTTAATGTAAAATATCTTTAGGTGCAGGCCAAAATCTTCGCCTTAACATGCGGGCAGAAGTCCATAAAACTCAATTGCTTTCATTTATTTATTTACATTCACATGTATGTATGTATGTGCATTCAAATTTTGTTGTTTCGACAGAAATATATTCTTTGGTTTGAGTGAAAATAAAAACCAACAAATGAAATGACGGCGAGAGAAATTTTCAAAATGCTAGCAAACGTCAAAATTTCTAAAGCTGGCTCTCAGCCAAAATGTATTCAACAAAGTGTGATTGAATTTGACATTGCTCTCAGAAGAACCATCCTATAAAGTGAAGTTGAAAAAATTTTGTATGAATTTTAAATCGATTGTTTATATTTTTTGGCATAATATTAAAAGAGAGCCTACCTGAGTTGTCAATCACACCTTGTTTAATACACCTTGCTCTCAGCGATTGTACCTTATAAATATTTTTATCATGCTGTATACTGTGATTTTTTGCAGTTTTTAAATTCGAAAACTTTCAAATCGAAATTTCAGAAGGGTCACTGTTAGCAATTTTTTAATTAACTATTAATTAAAATGTTTCCTAAACATATTTACAACGCAATTCTGCAAGGGGTACCATAACTTTTTTTAACATAACGGATATTTGGAACAACCAAAATTAATCGATATGGATACATACATTTATGTTCGTATGTACTACTTTTGTATATATACATAAAAATGCTCAGAACAAAAAGAGAAGTTGATTAGTCCATGTCCGTCTGTCTGTCCTATTTTTTGCGTACACGATAACTCTAGCAAAAGTTGAGATATCTCAACCGAATTCGGTCCGCGGGTTTTCTTTTTCTAGGGCAGCAGGGTATTGAAAATACAAAAATCGGCCAATAACCTGGTCCCTCCCATAAAATGGTAATTTCGAAAAATGTAAAAACTACAATATTTCCTTAATTACAGGAACCAAATTGCTAAAAAACTGCCATGTTTATTATTATAGTTTTGAAAAAAGGACATGGGATATATTGCTAACTTTTAACATCAATTTGCTCAAAATATACATTTAAAACAGTGTGCAAACCTACCACATTTTTAGACAGATTATTTGTCTAAAATTTCAACTCAATTCTAATACGAAATATAAAAATGAATCAATAAATTTTTAAAAAGGTACATCATAAATTTTGCATTAAATATATCTGTGTCTTAACTTTTTAATATTTCAAAAATTCGCATATTTATATTTGCTAAAGTATTATGCAATGGAAAAATAATTTGGTGGATTTTTTGCATAAATCAATCTGTAGGATTTTTCTCACATTAATGAAAATATTTTTTAATTCTCTAAGTAGAAAACTAATGTTATACTTGTTTTTGCATCAATTGAGTTGAATCTGTACGATCCACTAGCATTATATTTCCTGATCTAATTTTTGAGTTGTGCCTCTTTTGACGACGGTGTGCGATATGTATACCCAATAAAAATATGAATTGGAAAATCTACCACATCTTATTCAAATCTACCACATTTTTTTCGATTCTACAACACTAAAATAAAAAGGGGTTTGCTCACTAATTTACAATAATGTTTTAAGAAATAATTATACTCCCAGCGCACTTGTGCAAAAGTGTATTATAATTTTGTTCGAATAACGGTTGCTTGGTATTTAGCGCTACTTACTTCCTTTTCTCTACGATTTTTGCGTGTGTGGGGTTCCGTTTGATTCCCAAAATTGGAAGGAAGTGATTTCTTGAAATTGCAAATTCTCATAAATAAATAATTTCCGAAATAGGTTACAGCGGACAATATTTAATTTTTTTTATTAATACATGTAGTTTTGAAGTTAACAAGAAAACAGATGAAAATAGAGCCCAACGAATGTTGTTATTTTTTTTTTTGTTTTGGGAAAAGTTGATAATTTGTGACTTATTGTAATTGGTAGAAACCACCACAAACCCACAAATCAGGTTTTAGAATCTTTATTAACTGCTTGACCCGATAGCGAAGAAAAAAGTACGAAAAAACTTGTATTAAGAATTTTTATAACTAAATAATAAAATGTATATGTCTAAAGTTAGAAGCAGACGCGCTTAAATTTGTTTACTTATTTTAACGTAGATATATAGGTGCATATGTAATAATTTCTGCACATACCCTTCATTGGTACATTGGTAATACTTATTTAAAAAGCTGACAATTTTCGAAACAGAGATGTTAAAATCGTTAATAATTTACATTTTTCATAAGACATTCTTGTCACTAAAAATATTTCTCCAATTATTATTTTTATTTTTTATAAATACTTGTACAAATTTAAAACAAACAAATTAATGATAACGCTCAATAAACTATTTTTCGTGTTGAAATTTTGAAATCTGTTTAATAAAATTCAACTTGCGTATTTTTCAGTGGGTTTTGTGTGTTTAGAATATTTACATCGATTGATTGGTACTGAATGAATGTGTGCACACATAGCAAAAGCTGCATTTATCTGAATGCTTATTCAGTGTTAAAAGTTAATGTTTCATCATTCAATTTTTTCAATCTTTCTTTGAATATGTTAATGTGTGTAATCGTATCTACTTTGAGTGAATGTAGAATTGGAAAATTATAAGCCACATTCCCCAACAAGGAAAAATTCAATGAAAACATAACATAAAATTTATCATTTTTAATTTCATATGATTTCACAGTTTTACAGCTCTGGTC